CCTCTCCTAGCCTGCAGGGTTTCTGCAGATAAATCTGCTGCTATTCTGATTGGTCTTCCATGGTGGGTGATCTGGCCTTTTTCTCTTGCTGCCTTTAGGATTTTTTCTTTTGTGCCTACTTTATTTAGGCGAATTATTATGTGTCTAGGAGTTGGTCTTCTCATTTGTTGTCTTGCGGGGGTTCTCTGAATCTCTTGTGTTTGAATTTTTGTATCACTGATTAGATGAGGGAAATTTTCTTGAATGATCTCGTGGAAAGTTTGTTCCAATGTGGTCTCTGTTTCTCTTTCTGCCTCAGGGAGTCCGATTATTCTTAGGTTAGGCCTCTTGAGGTAGTCACTCATCTCTTGAAGGTTTTGTTCTGTCTTTTTGAGCTTATTTTCTGTGTTTTTAAGAGTTTGGGTTATTTCTATATTTTGGTCCTCAAGCTCTGAGATTCTTTCTTCTGCTTGGGTAATTCTGCTTTCCATGCTTATCAATTTGTTATTTATTTCATTCACAGTATTCTTTATTACTGTTATCTCAGATATCAGCTCCTTCCTAGTTTCTTCTTGTGTCTCCTCAATTCTTTTTAATCTCTCCATTATTGTTTTGATATCTACATTTGCATTTTGAGACCCTTCATTCTGGGGGACTTTTCATTGTTTGTATTCCAAAGTCAATTTTCTCAGTGTCTGCTCTCCCAGGCGTCTGGGAGAGACCCATACTCTTCTTTTGGTTTTTCTTCATTTCTGTAGATTTTTCTTCCTTTACCCCTTTCCCTCCCCCTCTTCAATTCTGTTTTTGAGGGAAGGTGGGGTTGCTTTTATTTCTCTTCTGCAATGACCTGTTCTTCCTTATGAGGGTCTTCTGGTTTTGTTCACTTTTCCCTCTGCTTTACAGTCTGTCTATTCAGCAGTTTGCAGTCTTGGTCCATTCAGAGAATCTCACCAGTTCACCTATGCCGTCGCCATCTTGTCCGTCGCCCCTGATTGTTTTAAAGATGTTGCTTTACTGTCTTCTCTTTCGCCTTGTTTCTGACAAGAAATATGCTGTCATTCTTTTCTTTGCTTTTCTCTATGTAACTTGTCTTCTTTCTCTGGCTATTTTTTTTTCCTCTGTCAGTGGTTTTGAGCAATGTGATTATGATCTGCCTTGGTCTAGTTTTGTTCATGTTTCTTGTACTTGGGGTTTGCTGAGCTTCTTGGACTTGTTGGTTTATTGTTTTCATCAAATTTGGAAGGTTTTCATGTGTCTTTTTTTTCAAAGAAGACAACTTTATTAGGTGCTTTCTGTCTTATGAGGAGTATTGTGGTGCTTTTAAGCAAAGCTCCAAATTACTAAACAATACCCAGTTTCCTTCAGTTGTGACAACTTTATCCCATGGTGGGTGCTCTGGAAAGCACTTTGAGGGCGAATGGATCTTAGGTTATTCATGATTAAGATCGTCCAATGCTTTTGTTAGCTGAAGAATCTTCCCATGCTACCTTTTAGAAGGGGTTCTGTGTCCCCCTTCATATAGCCTACCACTTAGCTGCACCCCACCTTCATTTGTTTTCTCTGCCCAACCAGGTAACCGTGGATGGTTCAGAAGGTGCTGCTGTTGAGCATCCTTTAGATGCAATATCATATCAATGAGCATCAGGAATTTTCAGCTCACTTTGTAGGTCTGATGAAAGGGCATTTTGATGACCTTGTAGTTGTACTAGATAGATCAGTAGGACAGCAGGGTTGCCACCTGTAGCACCTGGCAGGAGATAAGCACCATTTTTCATAAGAGGCTTGGGCAAGCTGCACAGCCTTCATTCACCACTTCTTCAAATAATTGTTCTAATCCCCGTCTCTTTGTTTTCTTCTGAGTCTCCAGTTACACATATTTTAAGCTGCTTGAAGTCCCACAGCTCTCTTATGGGGTTAGATCTCAAAGCTATTGTGAGTTGAAAATATCTTAAGTTGAAGATGCTTTTAATACACCTAACCTATGGATTATAATTGTTTCGCCCAGCCTACCTTAAACATATTCAGAATACTTACATTAAAGTTGGCCAACATATTCTAATACGAAGTCTGTATTATAGTAAATTATTGAATATCCTGTGTAACATATTAAATACTATATTGAAAGTGAAATGCAGAATGGTTGAATACTATATTGAAAGTGAAATGCAGAATGGTTGAAGTACAGTTTCTGCTGAAAGCGTACTGCTTCTTCACATCATAAAGTTGAAAATTATTAAGTCTAACCATCATAAGTTGCAGACCATCCATGTATTTTATCCAGTGTTTTTGATTGATTCAGACAGGACAGTACATCTGGTTCCTGTTGTGACTTTGAAACCAGAAATGAAAGTTGGGATGTTGATGTTTGTCCTAGTCTGTTTTGTGCTGCTATAACAGAATACCTGAGACTGGGCAACTTATAAACCACAGAGATTTCTCACAGTTATGGAGGCAGGAAAGGCCAGGGTCAAGGGATCTGCATCTGATAAGGGCATTCTTGCTGTATCATCCCTATGTGGAAGGGCCTGAGAGCACTCAAGGAGGAGGGAGAGAGAGAGAGACCATGCATATGCATGTAGGAGAAGAGAGTTCGGTGGGGGCTGGTACAAGCAAGTGGGAGCCAAACCTGCTTTTATAACAAACCCACTTTCATGATAACAAACCAACTTCCTCAGTGATAACATTAATCTATTCAAGAGGGTAGAGTCCTCATGACCTAATCACTTCTTAAAGGTCTCACCTCTCAACACATTTGCATTGGGGATTAAATTTCCAACACATGATCTTTGGGGAACAAATTCAAGCCATAGCAAGATTTAAGACTTTGTGGTTGAGTAATTCCAAGTGATGGTACAGTGTTGGATCTTAGATATGAGTGAAGTAGAGATGTGAAAGTAATTGAATGAGTCATCCAAAAAGTCTTTGAAGTTACTTAAATAAGTGGATTTGGGGTAGGGGATAAGACTTTCAGCCACAAGCCAAAGTTGTGAAGTTTTGATTATGTATGTTTTATGTGTTTAATTAGGGAAATACTCTTAAAATTTTGTTAAATTGTGTTTTCTTTTAGAACCTTCTGATAACTTACGAGAGATTCTCCAAAATGTGGCCAAATTGCAAGGAGTATCAAATATGAGAAAGTTAGGCCATTTAAATAACTTTACTAAGGTAAGTAACTTCAGTCTTCACTATTATCCAGAATTATTACCATACTTACTGGATGTTTCTTAACCATCATTAAAAGGAAATGCTTATGTATTCATTCACCCAGTGTCAATGCATTTCTCTGCTTCTTCTCATGAATTTTGTCTTGTGTTTTTTAAAGTTAAAAATGTATTTGAGTAATAGAAGAATTCTATGCTTGTAGAAAATTTGATAGGTTCAGCAAAGAATAAAGAAAGAAAATCATTGAGAAATTCACAATTCAGTCTTTTGTTCACCTAATGATGCATTTCTTTTTACTTTAAAAAAATTAATTTTACTTGATAATGTGTGATACAGACATACATTGGTGATATTGTAGATTCAATTCCAGATCACTGCAGTAATGCGGTAATGTGAATATTAAAGTAAAATGAATCACATGAATTTTTTTTGTTTCCCAGTGTATATAAAAGCTATGTTTGCACTATGGTGTATAAGTTGTGCAGTAGCATTGTGTCTAAAAATTAATGTAGGGTAAGTCCCCTACATCTGGACAAATTCCATTCCAAGAGTGCATTTGTAAGTCTAATTTGTTGTTACTTGGGTAACACAATCGGCTATATAGTACTATAGCGTAACACAATCAGCTATATAGTACTATAGCGTAATAAGTGTATATTACTTTTCACACAAATAATACATTTTAAAAATTACAATATTGTACAGTAAAGTATACAAAAGCACAACCACTTGTACAAGATATATGCATATGATAATATATGCCACTTGAACTAACTTATGTGATTGGACATGTGAACACACATTTGTATCTCTGAAAGTTCGTAACCTGAAGGTTCGTATGTCAGGGACTAACTACCTTAATTTGAAGATGTTGATAAAAAATGCTAATGATCATCTGAGTCTTCAGTAAATCATAATTTGTTGGTGAAGGATCTTGCCTCAGTGTTGTTGGCTGCTGACTGATCAGGGTGATGGTTGCTGAAAGTTGGGGTGGCTGTGGCAACTTTTTAAAATAAAACAACAATGAAGTTCACTGCTTCAATGGACTTTTCCTTTCATGAGAGTTTTCTCTGTAGCATGTGATGCTGTTTGAAAGCATTTTATCCACAATAGAACATCTTTCAAAATTGGAGCCAGTCCTCTCAAACCCTGCTGCTGCTTTATCAGCTGAGTTTCCGTAATATTCTAAATTATTTGTTGTCATTTCAAAAAACCCACTTTCTTTGCTGATCTATAAGAAGCAAGTCATCATCCATTCAGGTTTTATCATGAGATTGCAGCTATTCAGTCATAACTTTGGGCTCAACTTCTAATTCTAGTGCTCTTGTTATTCCACCACATATGCAGTGACTTCCTCCTTTGAAGTTTTAAACCCCTTCAAGTCATCTATGAGAACTGGAATCAACTCTTTCCAGACTCCTGCTAAAGTTGACCTCCTGCCGTGAATCATGAATGTTCTTGATAGCATCTAGGATGGTTAATTCTTTCTGGAAGGGCTTCAATTTGCTTTGCCCAGATTCCTGAAAGGAATGACAGCTATAGTGTTACAAAATATATTTCTTAAGTAATAAGACATGAACATCAAAATTACTCCTTGGTCCATAGACTGCAGGTTGGATGTTGTATTAACAGGCATTACAGCATTGCTCTCCTTGTACATCTGTGTCAGAGCTCTTGTATGACTAGGTGCATTATCAGTGAGCAGTAATATTTTGAAAGGAATCTTTTTTTTTTCTGAGCAGTAAGTCTCAACAGTGGTTTAAAATATTCAGTAAATTATTATATTGTAAACAGATGTACTATCATTGAGGCTTTACTCTATATATTGACAACAAGCAGAGTAGATTTAGCATAATTCTTAAGGGTCCTAGGATTTTCAAAATAGTCACTGAGCATTGACTTCAACTTAAAGTTCCAGCTGCCTTTACTCCTAACAAAGAAGTCAGCCTGTACTTTGAGACTTTGAAGCCAGGCATTTACTTTTTCTTTTCTAGCTATGAAAGTTTAGATGGCATCTTCTTCCAATTGAAGACTTTTTTGTTAGCACTGAAAATCTGTTGTTTATTGTTGCCACCTTCCTCATGATCTAAGCTAGATCTTCTCCATCAGCACTTGCTGCTTCACCTTGCACTTTTATGTTATGAAGATGGCTTCTTTCCTTAAACCTCATGAACCAACCTCTGCTGGCTTCATACTTTTTCTTCTGCAACTTCTTTCAGCCTTCTCGGAATTGAAGAGAGTTAGGGCCTTGCTCTAGGTTAGGCTTTGAGTTAAGGGGGTATTATAGTTCATTTGGTCTATCCAGAACACTGACACTTTCTCCATATAAGTAGTAAGGTTGTATGACCTTCTTATTGTTTAGGGAGTAGCACTTTTTTTTTTTAAGTTGAGGTCTCGCTGTTGCCCAGGTTGCTGGAGTACAGCGGCACGATCATAGCTCACCACCTCCTGGGCTCAAACAATCCTTCTATCTCAGCTTCCCAAGTAGCTGGGACTATAGGCTCATGACACCATGCCCAGCTAATTTTTTTTAATTTTTATTTTTATAGAAATGAGGTCTCGCTGTGTTGCTCAGGCTGGTCTCAAACTCCTGGCCTCAAGCAATTCTCCCACCTTAGCCTCCCATAGTGCTGGGATTACAGGCATAAGCTACCTCTCCTGGCCTGGAGTAGCACTTTTAATTTTTATTTAAGAACTTTTTCTTTGTATCCACAACTTGAGACCTAGCTTTAGACTTGTCTGGACTTTGTACGTACTGTCCTCACTAAGTTTAATCACCTTTAACTTTTGATTTGAAGTGAGAGACGTGTGACTCTTCCTTTCACTTGAATACTTAGAGGCCATTTTTAGGTTATTAGTTGGCCCAATAGTGTTGTGTTTCAGGGAATAGGAAATCCAAGGAGAAAGAGAGAGGGGAGTAACCAATTGGTAGAGCAGTCAGAACATACACATTACTGATTCATTTCAACCTTATATGGGTGCAGTTCATGGAACCCCAAAACAATTGTATAGTAGTAACATCGAAAGTCACTGATAACTGTAATATGATAGCAATGAAAAAGTTTTTCACTTGGATGGTTTTAGAGCCTATCATACTCAGTGATCTATAATAGAAATAAAGAACAGAGTGTACCATATGTTCTCACTCATAAGCGAACCTTGAACAATTATCATAATACTATAAGAAAGGGATTGCAGTAGTGGGAAACTGCCAGGGGAGGGGAGAGGGGGATTGGCAGTGAGGGACACTGCCAGGGGAGGGAGGGGCACACCTCATCAACAAGGGTACCTACATAATGAGCATTTGTATACCTAAACCCTGAATTGTACCCCACATCTTTAAAATAAAATAAAATCAAGTTTTTCATATTGTGACAATTACCAAAACATGACAGAGAGAGACAAAGTGAGCACTTGTTTGTAGGAAAATTGGCAACAGTGAACTTGGCTTGGTGCAGGTTTACAACATGCTATGTTGTCCAGGCTGGTTTTGAACACCTGGTCTCAAGTGATCCACCCATCTCACAAAGTACTGGGATTACAGACCTTCAATTCATAAAAAATACTGTATCTTTGAAGTACAATAAAATGAGATATGCTTATAATTATGAGTACCTTTTACATAGTCATAAATCCCAAATAACTCTTAGAACTTCCTTTCTCTTCCTGATGCTGTAGTCCCATTTTCTGGATCCAAATTAGAGCCCAAGGTAAGTTGTAGAGCTCTGTTTCTAAATAAATACTGACTTGATCTGTAATAGCACAGAATTTTCAAATTTGATGCATGGATTAGTGCTTTGTAATGCTGGATGGCCAACTCATGCATACACTAAAATGGCTGTTATTTTAGATGATACCCTAAAATAGGAAACAAAAACCCTAAAACTAAAATAAGTAGTTTTTTGGGATAACATCCCCCCCCCTTTTCATATACCATTGTTTTTAATGAAGAAATTTGTATGTTTTAACCCCTTGCTATTCAGTGTTAACCACAGTCTATCAGTGTTGGTATCACCTTGGAGCTTGTAAATGCACTATTTTGGTCCCACCCTAGACCTACTGAATCATAATCTATAATTCAATATTCTCAAGTGAATTTGTGTGTGCATTAAAATTTAAGCATCACTATTTTACTCCCTCCAGCTATTTAATTTTTTGTACTTTATATAAGTACTTATATTGTGGCTTGGATTTTATTTTATTTCATAGAAACAGAAGGGGATGAGAATATAGTTACAGTGTAATAAAACTTTTCTCAATGTGGTATTATATAAAATAGATTAAGGCTTTTTCCATAGTTAAGGAAGTAAGTACATAGGTATAACATTTATTTTTCCTTAGAGAAGTCTTTCTGGCTTTTAAGTACATATATATATGATGAGAAATGATTTTATATGATAGATGAGAAAGTGATTTAAGAATTTTTTTTAAATTATCTTATTCTGTTTTCAATTTCTTTTGGAGACAGGGTATCTCTCTTTTGGCCCAGCTGGAGTGCAGTGGCATTATCATAGCTCACTGCAACATTGAACACCTGGGTTCAAGTGATCCTCATACCTCAACCTCCCAAGTAGCTAGGGCTATAGGCATGTGCCACCATGCCTGGCTAATTAAAAAGTTTTTTTTAGTGTTAAGGTCTTGCTGTGTTGTCCAGGTTTTGGACACTTGGTCTCAAGTGATCAACCCACCTCCCAAAGCACTGGGATTACAGTGTTAGCCACTATGACAGGCCCTGAGAAAGTGATTTTTTTTTTTTTTTTGAGTCTGATTCTCACTCTGTTGCCTAGGTTGGAGTGCAGTGGCACAATCTTGGCTCATTTTAGCCTTGACCTCCTGAGGCTCAAGCAATCTTTTCACCTCAGGCTCCTATGTAACTGGAACTACAGATGTGCACCACCTGTTTTTTTATTTATTATAGAGACAAGGTCTCATCAAGTTGCCTAGGCTGGTCTTGAACTCCTGTGCTCAGGCAATACTCTTGCCTTCGCCTCCCAAAGTGCTGA